TGTCAACACTTCTTCCGTCATTCCCATGTTTTCTGCCACTCGTCGCATATATGTTGCCAGGTCTTCTGGTACGTAATTTGAAACCTTAAAGGCCTCCTGCAACCGTCCTGCAATCATCACCGGAATACATTTAACATGTTCAATGCTGCTTTCTGTTCTTACAACTTACGCAAATCAATTCTGGATTCTATGGGGGTGCTTCTCAGTGGACGCCGTACGTTTTCTTCCTTCTTCTCTTCATGGGTGTCCATCACCTCCATGTTCATTTGACGTTCTTCTGCTCCGTTTGGTTCACCTGATCCTTCTGCATCCATCTTCTCCTCTTCATCATCAGTGGACGCCGTACGTTTTCTTCCTTCTTCTCTTCCTGGGTGTCCATCACCTCCATGTTCATTTGACGTTCTTCTGCTCCGTTTGGTTCACCTGATCCTTCTGCATCCATCTTCTCCTCTTCATCACTGTCTTCTTGTTCCTCCCGTCCGTTGCCTGATGTCTGTTTCTCCCACAGGTTCATCAGGTCCTCAAACATTCCCGTATGGATGCGCGTTTTTCCGATTTCTAGCGTTTGTACCTTCCCTGTTAATCATTCCAACGTTTTTATTTACCACTTCTCATTCACACATCTTGTTCTTTCCTACCTGTACCTTCCTTAAGCACAAATCGTTCACCAACATTCATTAGTGCATGTTTTACCAATTCCGTGTCAATTCTTGTAATTATCTCGAACGCTTCTTTCTTTCGTTTTTCTAATGCCCTCTGCATCCTTTTGGGCATGTCCGTCTCCGTCGTTCCTGGTGCGTCCTCTTGGTTGCATGCTCTTCTTCGTTTTGTTCCCTCTGCTCCGTCTGATGTTTCCTCTGTGGCTAAAAACCTCTTCAATCGTCTCCAACCGTCGTCGTTCAGTTTTTCGATCTTCTCCATCACCTTTAAGAGTGCAACAAAACCATGTACTGTCGTGTTATGCTTTACAACTCCTGATACAAATCCTTTGTTCTTTCAAAACATTACTTGATAATCTTTACTCATTCTCAAATGAAACGTAGACGCGCACAAGTGGATTTCGAAATTCACACCGAACGAACCGTGTAAGATAAACGATAAGCACGACGGGGAATGTAACTAAGCTGAATGTAACTTGAGAGCTCGGAAGCCGCATTCGTTGGTGGTATTGCCAAATAAAAACGCCGGTTCAGTTTTCAGGCTTTTCGTGCCCCCCGCGCGGTTAAATATTCTTATTGTTATTCCAGTTAAAAACGGTTCATGTCCACAATCTACACTTCTTCTCATTTTTTCAGAGGGTGTACCTTTAAGGTGTTTTCGGGCACTTGCACCATCGTTACGATCGTCTCCGTCTTCTGTTGTTCTTCTTCTTCCTTCTTCTTTGCAGCATCTGCTACCTCCTTCTCCGTCGTTCGATGCTCTTTTCCAGCTTCATCAGCATCTCCGTCATTTCTTCCATCTCTGTGTGAAATACGCATTCATAACAAAACAATTCATTGCATCTTTGTGTTTCACATACCTGCATTTGGTGTTCCTGACGCATTCTTCGTCGTCTTCTTCAAACCCTCTGCCGTATCCGTCTCTGGGCTTTGCCTTTCTTGTCGTTTCATGCTGAGTTCTTGCGTTCTTGAGTTCACACACCGCACTTGTGTTCTCACTTGTTCTTTTTCCCTGTGAAGATGTTCACAAAAACGTCAGCCTTGCATATCTCATTTGCACATCACCTTGCATGCTCCTCTTCACCGTTTCACCGCATCGAAGCATCCAAATCGAACCGCATCGCGAAATCTGAATTGAACCGCATCATCCGAACCGACCGAACCGACCGAACCAACCGAACCGAATCATACCTATCTGTTTCTTTTGAATTGAAACTTTCATTGGACAATTCATGCTTTGTTCATGCCTTTTTTGCGCCGTTAACCGCCGTATCGTCCGACACTGCTGTCAAAGAAAGATGAAAGCTGGCCACTTTGATCTTCCTTTGCTTTTGGGGTCCTTCTTTCACTATATTCTTTAAGATTCAAACCTAAACCCCAATTTTATCCGGAACCGACACCAGTCGCACCGATTCGACTTTTGGGACTGCCGTATGGGGGCATCCATTTTTCTTTTCCGAATTATTCCTGCAGAGCCACTGTTGGTCTGTCACAGAGCCTTTGCTCCGTGACAGACCAAGGGGGGATTTTGTGGCGGAATAATTTGGTACATTATTGTACCGTCCTCCGATTGTGGGTACCGCAAACACCTGCAATAATAAATGTCGATTAGTTTCAGGAATCCACAGGAACATTCCAGAACATTCTACTGGAGAATTGACGCCGCCATTTTACATCAATCAAGATCAGTACTCTCTCAGA